ACTACATAATCTAACATTTGAGGGTGATTGTTAGTGACTTTGCTGGACAAAGCCGTTAACCAGCACTGTCCTGGTCAAACAGGGACATACTTAAGGTATGAGAAGAGGAATTTTAGTGATAGATTCTAAAATTAGTATCAGTTGAAGTAGTTTTTGGTATATACCAGAGTCAGCACACTATACATCATTGGTCAAATCCAGCCCACTGTCTGCTTTTGTATGACTCTTCAGCTAAGAATAGAATTTATGCATTTAAATGATTGAAAAAAAATCTGGAAATTTGTTTTCTCCCTTGTCATATAAATAACTACACAATATCCTTGATTTTGCTTCTTGAATTGCAAAGCCTAAAATATTTTCTATCTAGCCCTTTATAGAAAAGCTTGTCAACCTCTGTGTATCCTGATATCCTCTAGTCCAATCATTCACATTGTTTAACACTTTACTTCTTATCCAATTCTCTGATTTGGTTTTTGTCACAACTGAGTAAAATATAGACCCCTGTAAAGGAAAAAAAAAAGCCCTTTGGACTCCAGAGAATATAATTGTTCACACAATAGATGGATAAACATTAAATTATAAAGTGAGCATTTCATTCTATTAAATTCAGCTTCAACTGAGAATTATCACTGAAAACTATTTATGCTGAAGGATTACTTTGATCTGATCATATTAATCATATTAATAAACCTTAAAACTTTTAAAATTCTTCTAGAATACCTAGATCTCCAAATTTCTACAGTCTCTCAGTGGACCACAGTCTCCACTCTAAGAAGTATTATTCTAGTATATTCCAGCTGTACTGCGGGGTCTGGAAAAACTTTCAAATAATAGTTTCTCTCTTAAAGGTAGGTGCCAAAAGGCAGGTAAATGACCTAGCCATCGACTTACTTTATTTTGTTACATTTTTCCAATATTTTTTGCCCTCACTTCCTTTGCATAGATGTTTTATAAAATGGTTTAAATACATGGCCATATTTTTATTACAATCCATAAAGCTACAATAAAAATGTTTCATGTAATATTGTATAAAACACACTTAGAAAAAAACTGACATTATCCTATCAAGTTACTACTAACTTTACTAAGTCTGGGATATCATAATGTACTTTCAATTAAATTACCAAAATAAAACATCTTTTTTTAATCTCTTTCTTAAGATTGCTTATTCAGGTGTTTCTTTAGTGGGCTATTTTTTAAAATTAGGCACATTGACATTTTTATTTCTCAAAGCCCATTCTAATCTCTAAGATTATATCTGACATTTCTCTGTTGACCTCATGTTTCTTTCTTAAGACCTCTCTGGTAATGGATCATTTGAATCATAACTTTTAACGGAAAACGATAAAAGTGAACATCACAAATAAACTATAATTTTTGTTTTGCATCATCTGAGAGTGTTGGGGGCAAATTTTACACTTACAAACGGTTAAGCATCTTCTACATTTTCCACAGGAGGTTCAATAAATAGACAAAATCATTTCTGTGTGGGTCACACATATTAAATTAAACCAATGAATAAAATTTACATTTAACAGCAGCACAACAGGAAAAAATAAAACTAGGGTTAAAGAAGAACATAAATTTTTAGCTTTCTGCATTTTACATTCACATCCTTTTCTCACTCCCTGCAGCTTAGAAAATTTATATTATGTTGGTTAATCACCTTCCTCCATTCAGTTTATAAACAACTATTAGAGTAGGGATACAGATAAGAAAAAATAAACAAATGTAAGTTCAGTTCCTATTCACTCGGCCTCCTAAGAGCTCAAGTAGTGATGCTGTAAATTTCCATTATAGTAAAGCTGATTGGGTTGCAAATCCTCTAGTCCTTGGTTAGCTACCTAACATCCCACCACCTCCAGAGAAAACTACTTTTGAAAGAGGGAAAACACAGAGCAAATAACTTCTCGAAGTATGGCACAGGGCTTTGAGATGGGGACATAAAAAAGGTAAATATAAAAAAAGAAAAGGGACAAGACAAAAATTCAATAAAGGGATTTTTTTGTGAAATCAGCTGGTTGAAACCAAAGTAGATTTGGGAATTCTACAATTATCTGATCAATTTTGATAGTGCTATCGGTTGTAATCATTCAAGTTTCCAAACCCAGACTGACTATCCAGCCAAGGACTATCCTCACCAAAATCTTATTGCCTCATAGATTAGGCCAGGGGGATTCAGCAGGAAGAAATTAGGCTATGATGTTTTCAAGATTTGTAATTTGCTCTCAGAAATCTCATACAAATTACAATCCCTGCCAGGGTATGTGGTGTGATGTCAAGTGAAGATAATTACCTGCCAATCTGCATAATTAGTGCCTCCCTCCCAAATTCCCACTTGACCAAATGCCTGTTTTATTCAGGTGAACTGGGAGAGTTCCTTTGCCTTGTCACTCTGCTAAATCACGAAAAATGTTTTGAAAATGTTAATATTGGCAGAACTTTGTGTTCAAGTTTTTAGTCAATCTGAAAATAATTTAATAAAAGTAAAATCTTTAAAAACTCATCTAATAGTTTCTTCAGCTTATATTGCCAGTACTGTGGGAATTTTGTGATAAATCTCATGAACCATTTGTAAACCACAATGTGTGCCATAAATGTAAGATACTGTTGTGCTAAGTCAAGCTTCTAAGAAACCAGATGGAACTCTTCCAACAAATCAGAGATGGTAGAATAATAAAACTTAAGCCTTGGAAGCAATACAGGCAATTTTTGTTGGCCCACTTCATATCTATCTTCTTTCTAAAGTGTATCACTGTATTTTTTATATGTTTGATAATTTTAAAAATATTTTGGGGCTGGCCCGGTGGTGTAGTGGTTAAGTTGGTGTGCTCCACTTTGGTGGCCTAGGGTTTGCAGGTTCGGATCCCAGGTGTGGACCTCCACATCGCTTATCAAGCCATGCTGTGGCAGGCATCCCACATATAAAGTAGAGGAAGATGGGCACAGATGTTAGCCCAGGGCCAATCTTCCTCAGCACAAAGAGGAGGATTTGTGACAGATGTTAGCTCAAGGCTAATCTTCCTCACAAAAAATTAAAAATTAAAAAATTTAAAAAAATATTTTAACCTAAGAATGCAATTTCAGGGTAAAGAGAAATAGATGTTTGTCAAATCTAAATTGAGAATTTGAAAGGAGAATACATGGTGATTTCATTTTATGTACTGTTCCATTGATTTATGTACTGATATTTGATTCCCATTATTAGAAAAGCAGAAAGTCAAATGGATGCACATATCATTGGTTCACCTCATTACAACTTGTGGCAGACTTTCTCATCATGCTTCACTCTTAATTCCTTCTTTAGAGAAGGAAGGCTGCCAGCCAAAATCAATTTACAAAGATATCTTTGATTTAAGAGAGAATATGTCATTCTATATAAAGTATTTTGTATTTTCATCCAAGAGAGGGAAAAAATGGTAGAGAAACTTCAAAGCAAGGATCTTCAGAATGTCTATTTTTCTACATAGCTAGGTTTTAGTAGTACCGTTGTGAAACGGGACAAAAATTCCATGCAATCTATTAGTATATATAGAAAGTGTTTTCTTTATCTCTTAAGTCTCTGAGTTGGATTAGAGAAGAGAAGTTGCTTGTTTGAACAGATACAAATTTAATAAATAAAGAAGATAAACATTACAGTTAGAGGTATAATCTGATAACAAAGAGTAAATGGAATAGTTTTAAAAAATGATAGTAAATCTTTTAAAAAATATAAAAAGTAGAGAAAGCTCAACTAAAGAAGAAATGAGTAAGGTAAAAATTCTATTTTTTGCTTCAAGTTTTTTCTCTGTATCTCACATAGTATGAAGTTTCATTTTAGTCTCTAACTTTTTTGTATTCAGCATTAATTCATATTAAAAACAAATATTTCCTTTTCAAAGATACATTTTGACTTAGAAATAATTTTATCTCAAAAGTGAAATTTCTCCAAATAACATGAGAAAATCAATCTTTACATTAATGATGAGAAGTTCTTCTACTATACACTTAAGATTTAAAAGCCAGCTAGTGGGGCTGGCCCTGTGGCTTAGCAGTTAAGTGCGCACGCTCCACCACTGGTGGCCTGGGTTCAGATCCCAGGCGGGCACCAACGCATTGCTTGTCCAGCCATACTGAGGCAGAGTCCCACATACAGCAACTAGCAGGATGTGCAACTATGACATACAACTATCTACTGGGGCTTTGGGGAGACAAAGGGGAAAAAAAAGAAGGATTGGCAATAGATGTTAGCTCAGGGCCAGTCTTCCTCAGCAAAAAGAGGAGGATTTGCATAGATGTTAGCTCAGGGCTGATCTTCCTCAAAAAAATAAATAAGTAAATAAATAAAAGCCAGCTAGGTAACTGTCTCAGGAATTATTTTGATGAAATGGAGAATCCAAGTTCTATTCCATTATAAGGCAAAGTAATATGACAGTTATGCATGGTGCCTTCTAAATCAACAATTACGGCAGCATTATCTTCCTTACCCCATCTTAATTTAGCAGAAATCAAACCATTTTAAATCAAATTGGTACATACATCCATTCACTTCTCGTCCAATCAAAACTGAATTACCTGTCAACAGAGAAGTACACTTACAAGTGTGAAACCATTTGACCATGTTATATTTTAATTTGCAGAGACAAAAATGACAAGCAATTTATTTACATAAAACTGTACAAAAGCAAATTAAATTATGTAAAGTATTTCATAAATAGTTGGACGAGTGTTTAATACATTTCGCCATGTTTAGCATAGTTGCGTGCATAGTGACTCATAATAAACGATGATAAATTGTTCTCTGCTTCACTATCAACATCCAAGTAGCAGAACAATAGTCAATGATTAACATTACAAACAGATCGTACCACACTGTATGCAAGTGCTTTAAAATGTAGGAAAAGTCATCTGAAAGTAAACCCTAGGTAGCTGAAAAAATGATGCCTTTCTCCAGATGTTATATATACCTCTGCCTGGGTCACAACTAACAAGCTTTACAACATTCATGATCATCATTGCTCTTTTTTTTTTCCTTAAGGAAACATTTGTATATTTATCACTGATAAAATAAGCATCTAAAACTACTTAGGTCTTCAGATTTCTCATGCACGTTTTACGATGGCTCTTTGATTCTTGGCAGTTGCTTCTGATCTGTGTGTTTTATTTTATTTTCCTATAAGACAGCTTCCTAGGGTAGCCTTTCAGCCAGACATCTTCAGTACCATCTTAGTTTCTCTTTCCATAAAAATAATGCCTCCCTTGTTTTCTGAAACTCAGGCAGCAGGCCAGTCAGAAACCATACAGAAATGATATCTGGAGGTTCAGAATGAGCATTAGATTTTAGACTGAAGCTACAGACATTTTAATACACATAAATTTATATACTTACTCATTAATTTATAAATGTGTCCTAATGTATAATGCATGCAAAGTTCACTTGAGATTCTTGTGTACAGAAAACAAGTATGGTTTATATACTGTACAACCAAAATGAAACAGCAGCCAAAAGAAAAATAATAGAAAAGAAGTAAAGAATAGAAATTCTAAATCAATGTTTTACCTTGCAAAATGGACTGAACTCACCCCGATAATATCTCTGTGTGTTACTATTACTATTATAAATGCTTTAGCCTTCTAATCAGAATTAAGCAGCCCATATTAATGCCTTGATTTTGTTTCATGAATGAATGATATTTAAGACTGGTCCATTATCTGAGTTTGTCAGAAGGCAAATTTTTAATATATTATTTATTATTTTCAGAAAATAAACATGGATAAATATACAGGATCAAAAAAGTTGGGAATAGCCCATTTCCCCTCATTGTCCAAACCCAACAACCGTTTTTTTACCATAACAACAGGTATAAAAGGCACAGTTGCTTATTTTGCATTCACTCATGTATTTATTTTTTTGTTTCTTTTTATGGATTTTTTTCAAAAGCACTCTATCTATGGAGTGGCACCAGATTCAACCTATTCAAAATAAAAGTCATACAAACACAAAATATATTTCTGTGTCATGCCAGCTCGTTATATAATAAACATGTTATGATAGCTAATTCTACCAGAATTACTGCGAATACTTACAGTACACTGAATTTTATCCTTTCACACCCATTTTAATTCTAAAGAGAGGTTCACAAGTTAAGTGATAATGACGTGGCTACCTTGAATGTGGTGCAAACATCCTGGGGAATGAGGATCCAATTAATCTGAAGGTCCAGTGTGACCCGTATTAGCTTTACAGACAACAGAAGGGTTTTAAGATAGAGTGAAATGAGCTATCTAATGGGTTCAAATGTCTTATGAAAGAAAGAAAAAAATGCATTAAAAAAAGTTTGTTGAACACCTGTGTTATGCAATTGAATATTTCCTTTGTAACGTGCAAGAAAAAATATGTATACATTTCATAAGTATCTTTAGAAGTATTTTGTCTTAATAGGTACTTACAGATTATACAAGGCAGAACTGCTTTAATGCAGTTTCCTAACAAAGTACTAGAATTGCATCTTTCCATAATGTAAATAATAATCAAACATAAACATGTTCAATTATTGATATTTTAGTCCAATGTTTTTGTTTCAATTACATATCTTCTCTCATCCTAACTATTATACACAAACTAACATCAAAATGAAAACTCCACTTAAGAAAGAGCCTAAGGAAATGACCCCAAAAGAGTACCCCACCAAACAGAGAAGTGGTTTTCAAAGGCAAGCATTTTGCTGACCTATAGTGAATTAACAACCTATATTCCAGGCTGCTTCACCTTATCGTCTAAGAAATTCTGCAAAGCATGAAACTACCCAAAGCTACATTGTTTCTACAGTTTGCTATGGAACCATCAAGGCTATGCCTTAATCAGGTTACAAACATTCAGTGACGGGAACGTTTGCTCTCTTCACCTGTTCTCCCCTATTCTGTCCCTGGATTGTCACCCTTGTCTGAATGTCCCAGCACAATTTCCAATTGTATTAAATCATCCTCTATAGAAGAAGTGACTCGAAGCCTGTATATTCTGTTTCTTTTTATTAAACTAAAAAAACTGCATATTTTCCAACTTTGAGATGTACATATTACGAGATGTACATATGTCACTGCCCAGAACGCATTTCTTTCATGTTCAGTCTGGATTTGTTTTAAGACATATAGTAAATAATATTCAAATCACATTAGCAACAAAGTCAACTAGGCTGTTGCCTTGTTTCAATATTGTGAGTCTTGAAATAGTGCTATAGTGCACAGGACTCAAAATTAATGCACTTGTGTTACATGAAAGTGTGCATTGAACGTGTAAAAAATGCAATTGGTAATTTGAAATGCAGGTAATAAGACCAGGAAGCATAACCTGGATTTCTAAAGTGAAAATAGTGGACTTAACTTATAAGATTGTATGCCATTGTATCTTTTTTTCCCTACCTACCCACAAATATGATTCAAAAAGTGGAATCTTCCCTGGAAATATTTTTTGAAACTAAACTTGAACCTCAACTAATTGCCCTATTATAACATCAAAAATATGTCTCATTAGTTTTTCATTTTCTGAGCTTTCAAAGAAAATCCATTTTAAAAGAAAACGGATATTTTCTGAGTATAGAGACAATGTAAAATAAACTAGCATTTGAGTGTTTCTGTGCGTGCATGTGGTCAGTTGCTTTTGTTGCTTAATGGATCACATCAAGACCAAATCTACTTCATAATTTCCCTGATCTGCCATAGGATCTTTGGCCTTCTAATGACACAATTGTTTCAGTTAGTTGACAGTAGTGGTGCTGTTCTGAAAACTATATATAATTTTTACAAGTTATAACTAGTGTAATTGATACACGTGGTCAAGATTGAGTGTATACTAAGAATATTCAATGAATGTATAGCATTGAAGTGGATGTTCTGACTTGAAAAGAATAACATAAGCCAATTTGGGACTGCAATCTCCAACTGGGTATTGTTTAGCTCAGTCTTTGTCAGAATATTAAAGCTGTGATCTTCCCAAAATGTTTCTTATAGAGTCCTCCTTCATAAAGACTGTACCTTTAGAGAGACTCTATCATTTTTGAGGGATTGCCTTTCATGGTGATTAATCACATTCTGACAATATGTCTGAAATGTATTTTACCTGATCTGCTTTTTTTTTGACCAGCCGGATGACATTCAAACTAAATCAGTGACTAAAATCATGCTTCAGCCTGAGGGTAATGAGAGTGTGTTGTGTTCTGCTCATCAGGCTTGTTACCATGAGAGAAACTTGCGACCATCTTTTTTTTGTTGTTTTGGCGGGGGTGGGGAAGAGAGAGAGGGAGTGTTGGGGGTCAGTGAGGGAGTTAGACATGCAAGTAACAAGGATGGTTTCTACATTGTACATTACAATCAGGCTAACAGTATCACTAAAGGCCTGATCTGGAGGCAGAAGTGGCAGGCAACGCTTTGTCTCTTTGGTAGCCCCCTCTTTTTGATTAAACGGTTTTGTTTTGTAAGGTTTTTGCCCCTTATTCTCCTTCTCATACATGAAAAGAACTTTGCTGTTGCTCCTTTATAGGCTATACTACAGGTAAACTTCTCTTCTAGTGAGAGTATTGACAGGAGATGGCTTGTATTCCCCTGTTTTTGTCAGGGGAATATCCTCAGGGTTGGCTTCCTCGTTTTTGCTGAAACTAGCTGCACTGAAGGTCTCATAGGATGAGGTCAACTTTTTGTTCAGGAGGTTTCTGTTGCGGTCACCCATGATGGCTGCCTCGCCATTGGCCAGCTTTTCCTGGCTTCCTCGTTCATCAACAGGCATGAAAGTGGAGAGTTTAGGCTGGCTCTTCTTCCTCTCTGGAGAAGTGCGGACTGGCATCCAACAGGAGTCTGAGTGGCCATATTCATCACACTCACGGGTGCACTTCCCAGTCAGAGCTACATCTGGAAGAGGTCTTGAATCTGGAATTCAAAGAGAAGGAGCCATTAAAGTTGGACATTCCTCAACAGCCTTTCCTGAACTGTATGAGATTGGAGGGGAAAATATATATGTATCCTTTACCGTATTACTTCCCTTTTTTCAACACCCTGCATTTCATCATCCCATAGAACAGTTTTTATCTCATCTCCATTAAAGATAAGGTTTTGCAAAAACATCAACTAGTATAGAAAAAGAGGAATGGACAAAATGATAAATTTAAGTGTGTAGAACAGACAGGTATATGCGCATTTGTGACAGGACAGAGACGTGTGTATATTCTCAAGCAGAAATGAAGTACATATGTATATTTGTGCCAGTATGAATTTTTCCACATTCATAGGAAAAGTTATTAAATCCAAATAGATAGTTTTCTGTATTTATAAATTATCCCAGAAATCGTGTGCTTTTGCCAATTGGATTCCTTCCTGCTTATACATTATTCATAGAATGCAAATATGCAAAACCTTATATTTAAAATACATTCTAATACATCAGGGTGACTCAAAAGTAGAACCTAAATTGACAGCACGTTATGTGGTAAAAAGTTAAAAAGGAAAGTACAAGTAAGCTATAGGTGTGAGCATACTAGCAATATCACCACCTACCCCACCCTAGCCCATATCTCTCTTCCCCCCACCATGTCAAATGACCTAATACGCGCCGTAGGATAATCCCCTGAGTGTCCACCAAAATCACATTTGCCAGTGTGTTTGCTGAATGGAAATATTATGTGAAATGCAATGTATTGGGTAAATACAGTCCAGCTCTTAAAGTTTTGATGAAATACCATGTACTCCTAATTAATGGTGTTGCCTAGTGGAATGAGAAATGTCTTCTATTTCTATAAAGCTAAGTTATATCTAGAGAGTTCTCAGGGATCAAAATTAAAGATGGCAGTTAAGAATTACCTGTATGTGTAATTAAGTCATTAAATGTGTCTGTCTTTGGAGAATAGTTATGTTATTTTTTTACTATTACAAATATTTAAATAGACTTTGTTTTTGTTTGAGAAAGAGAGAGAGAGAGAGAAATCTGCTCCACCTCAACAGACTCTAAGAGAATAACCTCTAGGGTTTTATTTAATATATTTTATAGTTTATTTTATTGCCAAACAAAAGAACATAATATCACTGTGCTCTGATTTATATCATATGGTATAATTTCATTAGAAGGCTTGGGACTTAAAAGACTGACAAATTTTGACTTCTGCAAATATATTCAAAACAAATGGAATCAGTGAGATTTGCATATATGCAATCCTGGGAAGATCTGGTTTAAAATAGAAGAGGGGGTTATTCAAATTATTCCCGTTATATTTATGCTTTCTGCTTTTGTCTCCACACAACATCCCCTACAGTTTAACATTATAATCCTATTTTGGCTATCATTTTTATAAGATATTCGAGAAGTTTTACTCTGCCAAATCTCCTAAATCAAGGCAGTCCAATGTAGTATGTCATTTCTTCCTTCAGTGGATGGGTAACTGAAATATTGACATTTGTCAGCCTGCTGATTTTCAACCACGGTGGCCTGAGATTTTTATGTTGTGTGCTGAGAGTTCAACAAGGAAACACCAGTGTTCTTCACAGGAAATCTAGCATTACTTTTCTCTTTTCCAAAGGTAAAAATGCAAAGATAATTATTCACTGTAGTTGCACAAGCTGCTATTTGACTTCTAAGTGGATAGATCTTATTAAGTTTCGTCAAAAGAAAAAGCTCTTTCCTGTTCATATTTTTATGCTAAATTGCCTCTGTGTCTCTCAAACACATATTTTAGATGCATTTAAAAAATCAAACTATTGACAAATTTTATGAATGATTTTTGTAATCTAGTTAGTATAAATGAGCAAACTGTGAGTTCTTGGGGAATATTTCCTGTCTTGGGATGCTTTGTTTACTTGAAGCTGACCTAAATGCTTTGAACAGGAAAAAACCCTTATAAAAATGCAAAGTGTAAGATCAGATCTACTTTTTACTCCACACATTCCTCTTTCTCTTTACTGCTTTAACAAGTTCAAACTTTTCTTTTTCTCTTATGATAGCGCCTGTCAAGGACAAAAGACAATAATCAGGAATTTAGCTACCAAAATAGGAAAAATATGAATGAGGTTGTCATTCCCTGCAGAAATGACCCAGAATGGTCCCCAATCATCTGTCTAAATTTACTTAAGTCTCACACAATGTGTTGGTTTACTTACAGAGTGACTTATGCAGTTGGCTGCTTTGCAGGGATTAATTTGTGTTTCCAGGTTGAAATTCACAGCACCTTGTTATTCCTTTGTTTGAGATGCATTTAGAGACAGCTCGTGAACTATATCAATACTCTAACAACTGTTCTTGCCTGTTGTTTAACTTGCATACCTGAACTCACTGTAGCGCATAAGAAATTATATTCTTTTAAATTAACTCAATTTCCAATCAACTAGAAGTGAGGTACTCTTCAATTCCTTCCCTCAGCCCTTACTTCATAGTCTGCATTATTTCCTGCTAAAATTGATTTCCTCTTATTGCTGTTAATGAAAGGCAGTTTGTCTTCTCTGCCATCAGCGATACGTGGGCTGCCACATCTCTATCCAAGAAGCACGACTTTTAATAAGGATCTCCTGTCATTTCCAAAGTCATACACTTGATTGGGGACCACAGTGGAAGTTGACAAGCCTAATTGGCTGAGACATGTTGTAGTGTTTGTCATCAAATTTAGAAAATAATCAAGAAAGGCTATAAGAGATTCATCACGAGCAATCAAAACTTCCAATCTTGATGACTCAAATGAATCCTCAAAAGAAATGCCAATGATTAACAAATGCAACTTGTATTATGATGCCATTTATTAAGGGAAGGCATGAGTGGAATAGTATTTTTTCTGTGGTTCTATATTTTCTTATTTTAATTATGCAAGTATGTATCATAAATTTCTTAAAACACAAAAGTTATATAGGATCTTAAAGAATCATCAGTTACACTTCTTTCTCCCTTTCATAAAAGATATACTCTTAAAATGCCTTATTTTTTGTGGGATTATAGAGGCAGACCTTCCACAACTAGTAACCCTTCTTAGTCTTTCAGTCTTTCACTGAAGGATGTGTTTTTAATATCTAAGAACATTATTTCATGCTTCGGTTTAGCACTATTCCCTTTAATTTTGACCTAAGTGAAGATAGAAAACAGTTAATCACAACTCTTGTTAGTTGGTATTAAGTAAATCAATTAAAAATATAAGCTGTTCTATAACAAAACGTAATGGTATTATCTATCAGCATTTTCCACGATGAAGTCGTTCCTTAGAGGTCCTCCTCGCCCAACCCTCAATCATATCAAACCTTGAAAAGACTGGAACTAGAAATGGCACTCATCAGATTTGTTGTTGCTTGAGTATTTTAGTTGCAGAGTTCTCCATTGTTACCTAGTTATGCTATTTACTAGAATCACTACATCATTTTGAAGAGGTAAAGTCCTTTCTTAGACATAAAGTTAATTTCACTCACAAAAGTACACAGTTTTAAGCCATCATTATAGCAAATAATTTTAAAACAATTTATTATATATAAAGTACTTTCCCATACTTCATCCCTTTTACTTATCACCTCCACCGAATAGCAAGGAGGATCAAAGCAGTGAGAGGTCCAGCCTATGTGAGAGCTGAGGCCAAAGAAGTGCTTTGACTTTCACTTTAGTGTTTCCCATAACACCATATTGCTCCTTCTTAAAATGTAACAGCTGAATTATTTAGAGGTCAATTAATTCTACCCACAGCCATAAGAAAAAGCTACAGTCTCTAAAGAAAGAGAAAAAAAATCTGAGCAGCACAGGAGATAGATGCCACAAAGTCACAAATTTTGCTACTTAATAAAAAAAAATGGTGCAACCTCCCCAAAACTATACATCTCCTAAAGTAGAGGAAATTATAACTAATTTAAGAAGTTGAGGTCTTTCTCTAAAAAGAAGTATATTTGTTCTTACTAGGCAGAATAGACCAGTGGGTAGTGGAAAGATGCTGCTACAGTGACCTCAACGGGAAGTGACAGACAGACAATATGCAGAATCATTAGAAATAACAAGGAAAGCCCAGATTTACAGGGGCATTTAACGTTTCCAGAAGCTGTCCTACACAATTCAGAAACCATTAGAGTCATCTTTATTATAGGAGACCACTGAAATCATTAAGACTCTTGAAAACAGCTCTCCACCAGTATGGATTTTCATATGCTGAGTTATGCATTCTGCCAGAATCCTGGACACCCACTCTACTCCAGGACCTTGACTTGGGCCTGAAGATACAAGGATATTTCCATTTCCTGTGAGAAGGCATGAAAATGTTGCATTTAGTTTTAAAATATTTCCAATGAGTTTTTTTTAAGCTCAGATACTTAAAGCTATATGCATCATTTAAATATTTTTTAATATACAAATTACTTAATTCCATGACCATATAAGATAAATGAGTTGTTAGTCAGTGTGTAGACGTGCTGGATGTTCACATCATTCCTGCAACTTGTTCTTTAAAATCAGGCACTAGCACATTCTCAGCATTACTTGTCTAAATTCAGCAAAAGAAAAATTGTGGTAATTTCTCCTTTTGGGGAGAAAAAAGACATATAGACACCTTTTCCTTTTTTTCTTTTTAAAGTAGTTAGTTTTCTTTTTGTACTTCTTGACTTCCTGTTATACGAAGACTTCTTTTTCTAGAAGTACACCTAAATTCTGATGGAATTTGGTGGACTATGAAAAGGTTTTACAAGTGGATGAACAAGAAAAATGAAAGACAATTGGCAATGGTTTTCCAACAAATATTTTAACATCACCTTTACTTTCTTAATCCAAATGAAAATATCTCTTTTACTCATATCATTATATCAAGTGTTTTATTTTAAAATAGCTGTCAGAAAATGATTTACTTTTGCCTTATGTAATGGAACTGAGAACAAATAACTAAACAAACCTTTTATTGGAAAATTATTATTGTAGCCAATAAAGATTAGAT